AGGGGTCCAAGATTATCTTCTGTGTCTGTATTTATTGGTTTCCCTTTTCTTTGTTGAAGAGGGTCTGTGCAATCCTTCTGCCTAGTCCGCCATCTTAGCTTGCTCCCGCCTTCACTTTTGACTATAGCCCTGTGACTTCTCACTGGACACCCAGGTCCTTTTAGACCTCCCTCCAATGCATGTCCCTGAGTGACACAATTGGTTAAGTGTTAGACTATTAGCTGAAAGGTTGGTGGTTTGAACTCACCATGAGGTGCCTCAGAAGACAGGCCTGGGTATCTGCTTCTGGAAGGTCGCAGCCTTGGAAACTGTGAAGCAGGTGTAAGCTGCCCACGTGGGATCACCGTGAGTGGAAATCAACTTGACGGCAACTAAGAACTATCTCCAAGGCTGTGGCATAGGCTGTTTCTTCCCGCAGCCTGGGATGTTCTTCCCTCCCCTCTTCACCCAGACGTACTTGACTCAGTCTTTCCCCTCTCCTTCTACCCTTCCTTCCAGGAAACCCTCCAGTCCCTGTCCTTGCATTCTTAGTGCAGGGCACAGTGGCAGTTTTACTTTTCTTCTTGCAGCTACTTGACTGCTTCCCCCAACCCCTCGGGGCTGTTGAGTGGGCCCCTGGCGTGGGCCTGGTTTGTTTGCTGACCATCTCATCTTCACTGCCTGGCGCAGAGGAGCCTGTTCTCAGGGTTTGAGGAGCACGTTCCCTGATGTTACAGGCTTCTGTGCCTTGGCTTACTCCTTAGCTAAGCAAAGCGTATTCCAGCTTCTCCAGGTTGACTCTCCTGCTGGGAGAGGTGATCCAAAGGGGGCAAATCTGAGAAGCTGGGGTAGGGGGAGTGATGATGCAGGGCAGCTGCAAATGATGCAGGAGTCCTCTGACACCAGCAGACCCAGCTTGTCAGGAAATGGAGACAGCTGTGGAGCATAGGGGCCATGGAATCACACTGTGTGTCAAGTCCTGCCCTGCCTTGCCCCTGTGACCTCGAACAGTCTGCCTCACCTCACGTAGTGGTGAGACATGAGGAACTACCTCTTCATCCCCAGGGAATAGTGTGAGACATGAGGAACTACCTCTTCAACCCCAGGGAATAGTGCTGGCAGCTGTCTGTTGAAGGCTCCTATGCGTCAGTCACTGTGCTCAGCCCTTGACAAGGATTATCCCATTTAACCCTCTCCACAACCTTTGGACATGTTACCAGGAGGGACCAGCTTCTGGAGAAGGTCATCGTGCTGGGTAAAGGAGGGTCAGTGAAAAAGAGAAAGACCCTCAACGAGATAGATTGACACAGTGGCTGCAACAATGGGCTCAAACAGCAATGATTGTGGGGACGGCACAGGCCCAGGCGGTGTTCCGTCGCACATAGGTCTCTGTGAGTCGGAGCTGACTCAATAGCACCTGATAACAAGAAGGACACAGCCCTCCGATGTGACAAAACTAAGTTTAGAAAGGATCTGGGACTTGGCAAAGTTTCTGTTAGTAGGTGGTGGGGCCAGAAGGTGGGTCCCGGTTGTCTTGCCATGCTACCTCTCTGGTAAGGACTGGACTCCTGAGGCCCTCCTGACCCCTATGGGCTCTCCCCGCCCACCACCAGTACTCAAGACAACCAGGATTCTGCACCCAGGAGAAGGGCAGCCCCAAGTTCCTGGGTGGTCCTGCTTTTCTCCTGCTTAGTAAAAGAGCTGTCTACCCTTCCCGCAGTTCTGAGAGATCACCTTTCCTCCAACTTGCTGTGTTGTTATATTTCAGAGCAAGCTTCACGAGGGATTGGAAATGTCCATCAGTCTGGACAAGGAGATGGCGCTGATAAAAGAGTTACTCGAAAAAATCGAAAGAGAAACTGTACAAGCAGAGGAGGTAGGAGAGGATGAAACGTACCATTTCTGATGTTTGTCTCCTGCCTGCTCCTTCTGACTCAAGGACCTGAGTCAATGTCCAGTAAGGTCGAAATCATCGTGATTTATCGGCCGGAAATGTCTACACCATAAAAATCAAAATAGCTCTGGGTCATCTAAGAGAAAGTGGCCGGGAAAAAAAAAAAAAAGAGAGAGAGAGAGAAAGTGATACATACTCTTTTCTTTTTGGTTATTGTCTCCTTTATTACAGTAACATCCTTCAGAAAGTAAGCCCCTTGCAGATAGATTATGTCTGTTAAATATGTCTATTAAATATGGACATAGTTTTAAATTCAGAGGCTTGGCGACATTCAAAACACATAAATGTTTTAAATCAATGCCAATTATCTTCTTTATCCCACTCACTTAAAGCACAATCGTTTTATTTTCACAGGTTTCAAAACATACATACCCATTTCTTTCTTTTTTGGGAACGTTTTATTGTGCTTTAGGTGAAAGTTTATACAGCACATTAGTTTTCCAATCAATAATTCATCTACAAATTGTTCCGAGACATTGGTTGTGATCCCCACAAAATGTCAGCACATGCCCCATTTCCTCCTGGGTTCCTCGTCTCCGTCCATCTGGTTTCCCTGTCCCTCCATGCCTCCTCATATTTGATCTTTTGGTCTCAAATAGTTGGTTGTTCTAAGGCGCACATTCTTCATGGGAGTTATTGTTTGTTTATTTTATAGGCTCATCTGTTATTTGGCTAAAGGTGGCCTCTGAGAGTGTCTTCAGTTTCAAGTTAGAAGGTTGTCTTAGGGCAGTAGTCTCAGGGTTTCCTCCAGTCTCTTTCACACAAGTAAGTCTTGTCTTTTTTTTTTTTTTTTTCCCTCTTCATTTGAATTTTGTTCCACATTTTTACCCATCTGACCAGGACCTTTGGCATGGTTCTTGTCAGAGTGATTGGTGGTGCTAACTGGGCACCATCTAGTTCTTCTGGTCTAAGGTTAGAGGAAGCTGTGGTTCATGTGTTCATTAGTCCTTTGGACTAATTGCTCCCTGACTTCTTGTTTCTTTTTCTTTTTTTTTTTAATTCTCCTTTGCTCTAGGCAGGAAGAGACCAATAATTGTTTATTAGATAGCCATGTGCAAGCTTTTAAGACTCCAGATGCTATTCACCAAACTAGGATGTACAGCATTATCTTTATGAACTGTGTTTTGCCAGTTAATCTATATATCTTCTGAGACTATGGTCCTAAATTTTCAAGATCAGTAGTTCAGTCCTTGTATAAGTAGTTTCTGTAACTGTGTCCCCTGTGTTCTAGTGTATCTATGAGTATCCACACATCATTTAAAAACATGTCTGTAGAACTATCTACAACTATACCTCTACGGGAGTGAACTTTGGTACAACCTCTCAGGTACTTAGCATACATACTGCCTGTGCATGTATTCACACATTATTGTTAGTTAGGATTGTTGTTGCAGGATTGTGTGTGTTACAGCATTTACCGTAGTTGCCCTTCCTTCTTGTGTTCTCAGTGTCTCCCTTCCCTTGGCCACATCGTGCTAACTTCCCCATATTATGCATTGCCTTTTCGTTCATCAGAATTAACATGTGTCTCCTCTCTAGTTAGTGATTCTCCCTCCTCTCCTTCCCATCCCTGCTAACCATCAAAGAATATTTCTTTCTGTGTATAAGCCTATTCTTGACTTTTTATAATGGTCTCATGTAGTATTTGTCCTTTTGTGAATGACTTATTTCACTCAGCATAAAGTCCTCTAGCTTCATCCATGTGTGATGTTTCAAGGATTCATTCTTACTTACCATTGTGTAGTATTCCATTGTGTGTATATACTACAATTTGTTTATTCATTTATCAATTGATGGACACTCAGGTTGTTTCCATCTTTTTGCTATTGTGAATAATGCTGTGATGAACGTGGGTGTGCCTGTGTCTATTTGTTTCACAGCTCTTATTTCTCTAGGATATATAACTAAGAGTGAGATTGCCAGATCATCCGCTATTTCTCTTTCCAGTTTTTTAAGGAAGTGCCATACATACCATTTCCATCGTGGTTGTACCATTTTGCAGTCCATCCAGCAGTGTGTAAGAGGTCCAATCTCCCCACAGCCTCATCAACATATGTTGTTCTCTGTTTTTTTGATTAGTGCCATTATTACCAAGGTGAGATGGTATCTCTTTGTAGTTTTGATTTGCATCTCTCTTATTTCTAATGATCGCAAGCATCTTTGCATGTGTTTATTAGCTGCCTGAGTATCTTCTTTGGTGAAGTGTCTGTTCATGTCTTTTCCCCATTTTTTAAATTGGATTGTTTGTTGTTGAGGTGTTGAAATTTTTTTAAAAATAAATTTTAGAAGGTAAACCCTTGTCAGATACATTGTTGCTAAAAATTTTTTTCCAGTCAGTAAGTTCTCTTTTCATTCTTTTGATGGTCTTTTGCTGAGCATAAGTATTTAATTTTTAGTAGTTATCTAGTTTATACTCTTCAGTTTGTGCATTTTTAGTTAGATTTGATTGCCTATTTATGCTATCAATTAGGCACCCTAGGTTGGTCCCGATGCTTTCATCCATGAACTTTATAGTTTTAGCTCTTTGATCCATTTTGAATTAAGTCTTTGTGTATGTTGGGTCCTGTTTCATTTTTCTGCACATGGATATCCGGTTTTGCCAGCACCATTTGTTGAAGAGACTATCTCTTCCCCATTGGATGGACTTCAACCCTTTGTCAAAGAGCAGCTGTTCATAGGTGGATAGATCTACTTTTGGGTTCTCAATTCTGTTCCATTAGTCTACATGTCTGCCATTGCACTAGTACCAGGTTGTCTAGTAGGTTCTGAGATCTAGAAGTGTGAGGCCTCCTACTTTGTTATTCTTCTTCAGTAATGTTTTACTTATCCAGGGCCTCTTCCCTTTTCATATAAAGTTGGTGATGAGCTTTTCCATCTTGTTAAAGAATGTTGTTGGAATTTGGGTCAGGATTGCATTATACCAATAGATTGCTTTGGGTAGTATTGACATTTTCACAGTGTTAACTCTTCTTATCCATGAACATGGTATTTTTCCATTCATGTAGGTCTCTTTTGGTTTCTGCAGTAGTGTTTTGTAGTTTTCTTTGTGAAAGTCTTTTATGTCCTGAGTTAGATTTATTCCTAAGTATTTTATCTTTTGGGGGGCTATTATAAATGATATTGTTTTCCTGATTTCCTTTTTGGAATTCTCTGTTAGTGTAGAGGAATCCAACTGATTTTTATATGTTGACCTTGTAACCTGATACTTTGCTGAATTCTTCTGGTAGTTACAGTGGCTTTTTTTGTGGATTCTCTGTGGAAGTAGATTGGCCAGTCTTCCTCCCAAGGAGTGGAAGATTGAGCAATCTACTTCTGTAGTGATACTGCCTTGGAAATTCAAGAAAGGGCCGCAATGAGTCAGATCCGACTCGATGACAGTGAGTTTGGTTTGTTTTGGTTTTCTGGGATTTTCTACCTATAGGATCATATCACGTGCAAATAGGGATAGTTTTACTTTTTCTTACCTATTTGGATGTTCTTTATTTTCCTTTCTTGCCTTACTGCTCTAGCTAGGATTTCTAGTACTATGTTGAATAAGAGTGGTGATAGAGGGCATCCTTATCTGGTTCCCATTGTCAAGGGGAATGCTTTCAGGCTCTCTCTGTTGAGAATAATGTTGATTGTTGGTTTTGTATATATGCTCTTAATTATGTTGAGGAATTTCCCTTCAATCCTATTTTGCTGAGACTTTTTATCAGGAATGGGTGTTGGATTGTATCAAATGCCTTTTTTGCATTGATTGAGATGAACCTGTAATTCTTTGTTCTATTTATGTCAACTATGTTGATTTTCTAATGCTGAATATCTTTGTATATCTTGTATGAATCTCACTTGGTCATGATGTATTATTTTTTTTTAATATGCTGTTGAATTTTATTGGCTAAATTTTGTTGAGAATTTTTGTGTCTATACTATAAGGGGTATTGGTCTATAATTTTTTTTTAGTAGTGTCTTTGCTGGCTTTGGTATCAGGGTTATGCTAGCTTCATAGAATAGATTCAGAAGTAGTCATTCCTTTTCTAGGTTCCAGAATAGTTTGGATAGAATTAGTGTCAAACCAAACCAAACCAAAACAAAACAAAACTCACTGCCATCAAGTTGAATCCGACTCATAGCGACCCCTTCTTGGGTTTCTGAGGTGGCATCTCTACGACGGAAGTAGATTGTCCATTCTTCCTTCCGAGGAGTGGCTGGTGGGTTTGAACCACCAGCCTTCTGGTAGCAGTCAAATACCTTAGGCACTACACCACCAGAGGTCCCTGAATTAGTGTCAAGTCCTCTCTAAATGTTTAGAAGAACTCTGGTGAAGCTGTGTGGGCTGGGGCTTTCTTTCTTTTTTTTTTTTTTTTTTCAATGATCTTTCAATTTCTTCTTTTGTTATGGGTCTGTTCAAATTTTCAACCTCAGTTTGAGTTAGTTTAGGTAGGTAGTATGTTTCCAGAAATTTGTCTGTTTCTCCTAGATTTTCAAATTTGTTGGAATACAATTTTTCATAATATTCTGTTATGATCTTTTTATATGTCAGTTGTTGTTGTAACCCATCTCATTATTTATTTGGGTTATTTGCATCTTTTTCTTCTTTTCCTTCATCAATTTGGCCAGTGGTTTGCCTATTATATTGATCCTTTCAAAGAACAAACTTCTAATCTTATTCTCTATTGTTTTTCAGTTTCATTAATTTCTGCTCAAACCTTTATTGTTTCTTTTCTTCTGGTTACTATGGGCTTCTTTTCTGGTCTTTTTCTATTTGTTTGAGTTGTAGGGTTAAGGTATTGATTTTGGCCCTTTCTTCTTTTTTGATGTGTGCATTTATTGCTGCAAATTAACCTCTGAGTCCTGCTTTTGCTATGTCCTAAAGGTTTTGGCATGTTGTGTTTTCACTCTCATTTGGTTCGAGGATTTTTAAAATTTTATTTTAAAATTTTTCTATTACCCATTGTTTTTTTTTTTTCATTTTTTAATGCATTTCATTGAAATATAATTTATGTACAGTGAAATACACAAAACTAAAGTGACATGG